ATAAATAAAGTTCTTCAAGATATAGGATGGTGGATAGACACTAAGAACACAGGTATTGATACTACCTATTGAGCAACAATAACGCGGCAGCCGTTGGTCAGTCTGTGATGGAAGTAGAGACGAACATTGTGCAGTCTATGTAAGTTAGTTGACGCATACAGTAGGGTCGTGTTAGAGGACACATACATTGGGAATCATGTTAGGGCTCAGACAAAATGGATTCGTGTTGAGGCTCACGCAGACACAGTAGTGGTCAGGTTAGAGTTCAAGCACAGTGGGGTAGTGTTAGGGGGTGACACGTACACAGTGTGGGGTAGTGTTAGGGGGTGACACGTACACAGTGTGGGGTAGTGTAAAGGCTCTCACAGTTATAGTGAGGGTCGTGGTTTTCACAACACTTGGGTAGGTGGTGACCCATTGCCCATCCCGCTCCAGTTAGAGCCCAAGATCAGTGTACCGTTTAATTGAGGACTGAGTTTATAAGGTCAAGAGCACTGTCCTTGCTGCATCCTGTATTTGTAATTAAACTTTTAAGACCTTGACATCAGCAAGTCATCACTAAGGCTGTTGTAATCATAATTGATCATATCACTGTAACCTCCGCAACTTCACGACCACTGCCTTTACTTCCACCAACTTCACAACCACTACCATCACATCCTATAACCCCAGAACCACTGCCTTCACCTCCACCAACCCCCAGAACACTGTCTTCACCTCCAACACTGTCAGCACTGCAATGATAACCACCTTTGCCCTCGCCACTACCACCTTTGCCATCATTCTCATCCATAACTATCAGCATCACCATCACTACAACACCAATTGCACCAATAAATATAGTTACCACATCCAATAGTGAGTACACCATAATTCCCACCATATCTACGCTGTATTGTTCCCATCTTTTATCATATTGACTAGGACCATTATACTACCTCATTCACCGCCTCTCCAACTACACTGACCTGCCAAGCCACACTTCAACCTCACAACCATGGCAGTTTAGTATCGTTTCTACCATAAGCCTCTCCCACCACCACAACTGGTATGATCACCAGCGTACCATCAAATACCAGTTTGTCATGACCTTCACAGCACTAAACATACCATCGTCGTCACCACATATGCACCACCAGACAACAGCGTTAATCGCAGATCACTGCCGCTGCCCACATCGATCACCATTGACAATTGTGTCTCTGTCTTTCAGTGTCAACTCTCTGTCCCCCTCAGTTGGGTAAATATTGTGCGTCCTGGTACCGTAGCGTGGTAATCTCTTTCCTTTGTGCTCTACCACTAGAGTTTGATCAGGAAATCACTCCTCAACACCTACCTAACTATATCCTTGTGGCGCTGCTTATCATTGGTCAGATGTACTCAGCCAGTGACAGGGGTAGCAGAGGAGTGCTTGACTGACAAACCAAAATTGATGTTAACACATGTTAGGCCCTACGGAAAGGCAACATATTTTTATTTAAATTTAATTAAGAATATGTTGATTTTTAATATAACAAAAATAATTTTGTTCTCTATTTAAATGTATAATTAATATTTTTGTATTTATTTATATTCATATATTTACTGTGCCCTCTCCGTAAGATCTATATTATGTTATGGTTCCCCCTTCGCATACAGCACTGTTCACCTACGTTTTCTATGAATTAATATTAGGACTTTTTCATGAATCGATCTTATTAGTATACAATAATTGCTTAATTTTTCTCACAGAAATATCAAATAGACAAGATATGATTCAACTTTAAGAATAGTTGCATATATAAGATATGTTTTTCGAAATCACTTGATTTATTTTAATAATAAAATACATTTGACCCCCACTCAATGCATTTGAAGCGTGACTCAAAAGGCACTCATTGCATCACTTGACTCCCAAAGGCACTCACTGCATCACTTGACTCACAAAGGCACTTGACTCACAAGGCACTCACAGCGTCATTTGACTCTCACCATAACATAATTTTGTTTTGGATCTCCACTGCATGAGCTTAGTGTTTTGTTTTCCATCCTGCACGTGTTGGTGTCGTCGTTCCTCCTGTGGTACACACTCGCCAGCCAGCATGAGGCTCACCGCCTGCATGTCCATACAATATACATATTGGTATAGCTTTTTCTCTTAAATGTTACTTTATGTGTGAGTGTTTTTGTTTACTGTTTGTATGATATCTTTATATATAGTTTATGTATTAGATATTTGAGAAGCAGGTACGTAGATACGTGTGTTTTTTTAATTAGTTATTTCTCAGGTTCTCATTCACTTGAAAAGGAAGTTAAAAATTAATTCTCAATGATCATATTGCAGTCTATATGGACCTGACGAGTGTTGCTATGTATGTAACTTAGCATCTTTTGACGTAGTTGAAAGTGAATGTAAAATGACAGAGATCAGCATATAGTCCATGGAGGTGGGATTGGAGGCAGTCCAATATACGTCCATGGAGATTTACAAAGTCCATGGACTTAGTAAATCAGTCGAGTAGATGTATCTCTGAGAGTGCTAAGGTTTTAATTTTTGGTAAGTTAATTACCAAAACTCGTCAGGTCTATTTATACTGTAAAATGAACTAAGAGACCAAATGAAGAACCTAAGTAAATAGTCATTGATCATATTCAGTAAAAAACACATTATATATATATATATATATATATATATATATATATATATATATATATATATATATATATATATATATATATATATATATATATATATATATATATATATATATACTGTATATACTGTGTGTGTGTGTGTAAATCACGAAAATAAACACGTGATTAAAAATGTGACAGTGTCAGACCACGGAGGAAAATTGAAACAGGAATTTCCTTAAGTACTTTCGTATATTAATACATCTTCAGAAGGAGTGGAAGATACTTTTTCTGAAGATGTATTAATATACGAAAGTACTTAAGGAAATTCCTGTTTCAATTTTCCTCCGTGGTCTGACACTGTTTTATATATATATATATATATATATATATATATATATATATATATATATATATATATATATATATATATATATATATATATATATATATATATATATATATATATATATATATATATATATATATATATATATATATTGTGTGGAAAAATCCCATTGAAATATCAAGAGTACTGAACACGTTTTCTACTAGTATAGGCCTTCCCCAGAGCAAGATAGAGTATGAGTAAAAAGGAAAAAGGTGGTGGAAAACCAACATCTCTGCTTCCTACCTTTCTCATACTCTTATCTTGCTCTGAGGAAGGTCTATACTGGCCGGAAACGTGTTCAGCACTCGTTGATTTTTCAATGTGGTTTTCCTGCATACCTTGATCTTCGTGATCGTCTTCGTGATCGTTGTATGTGTGTGAAACATCATTTATGCAAATATCCACAGAGAAGAGAAAACAATATGTAATAAATATATAATACTGTATGATTTGTCTCTACTCGAAGCTTACACAAAGTCTACAAACACAGACTGTGAATTTTTTTCAAAGCTCGTAAATCCTGTACAAAATTAATGACAAAAACTGTCTTAAAAGTTACGCTAGTCGATTTTTTTTTCTCCACGTACAAAGTTAAGACCTTAATAAAAAAAACAAATTACAGATAATTCATCAATATAATTAACAAAAATGTAAGCTTCGGTAATAATATCCCAGTGGATTATTGCAATAATTCAGCTTTATTAGCAATATTATGATTTCATTGGAGACGGTATAAGCGTATACTGCACTAGAGGCCCCAGTCATTATCACGAGGGTCATTGAGAAGAGCATCACTTGCTTTCCTGGTCGGACCAGTCGACACTGTTTACCCAGCCTAATTAAACGAATTCTGAGGCTCCAGTGACTGGTGAGGACTGTCGGGACTGGTGAGGACACTTGAGTGTGGTGTGACTGATTGAAAGCAAATAAACAGTTTATAAAACTTTATGATCAAGTAAAACAATGTATTTGATATTCTTAAAGTGCTTGCGATGATTAAAATAGTATGGTACTAAAACGGTGCGTAGAATGATTAACAGTGAGTATGGTAGTTAAAACGGTGCGTACAATGATTAACAGTGAGCATGGTGTTAAAAAGGGTTCGAATGTCATTTAAAACAGTGAATATGATCCATAAAATATTACTCTTGATAATTAAAACAGTGAATTGGATACCTAAAACATGCGTACGATGCTTAGAACAGTATATATATTATAACAAAACTATTGAGTAGGATAAACCGCACGTACAGCAATTAAGTAGTTCGTAGGAGTCTATAATGAGAGTACAGTCAGTATACTCTCCATATAACACTGTGTAACTCTTCTTCAAACTGTGCAGGTTACTTGCATCACTGTGGATAGTACTTAGAGTGCGTTCGATAATTAAAAGTTTGATTAAAATCTTAAAATATAGACAAAGGTATACAATCCAGACTACAAATCTTCAGGTAAATAGTCATACGCAATAAGTAAATGTTTTTGTAGGAATTTACTCAAATATCAAGAAACTAATTGCCTTAGGTTACAGCTTACACGGCCAGTTCTTCAACCGTGGAACTGTTTAATTATCTTTGTTTAATCAAAGTGCAAGTTAAGGACATCAGATGATGTGGTTAGGGCGCTCAATATGCAGACTATGAAACTTGAGGTTTTACCAACGACAGCAAAATACTGATTAACAAACGTTTAATTGGTAGTAGCAACATCAAACATTTGACAATTTAATCAAATTAAAAATAAGATTTACATTTAACAAAAACATGGAAAAAGTTCCTTAAAATTAAGAAGGCAATAATGACCCATCCTTCGCACGTAAAATACAAATGTTAAAGATATTGACACCTCTTTCCGAACAGAGAATCATTTGAGTAATCTATGAACAATATTTCTTGGGTCATCCCATGAGTAATATTTCTTGAAGTCACCCATGAGCAATGGCTGCTTAGTAACCCATGCATCCACTTTCTATGATTATGTCCATTTTCTATGACAGGTCGGATAGGGACGCCTCACTTCATGAGTCCTGAGGTGGTGGAGAGACAGCCATATGGCAAACCTGTGGACGTGTGGTCAGCTGGCGTCCTTCTCCACATCCTATTGTCGGGAACTTTGCCATTCTACGGGACCAAAGATCGACTCTATGACTCTATATGTCAAGCAAAACTGCATGTAAGTATCTCATATGAATGTATACAAAGTAGCCTCATGGTTAAAGCAAAAAATGTATTGGATCCATGACTCGTATCCTACACACACACACAAACCATTAGTAAATAGGTGAGTACACACACACATGCATAGTTTAACCTAGATAAGTTCACTTATGTGTTCTAGTTACGATCATTTAGCGAGCTTTTAATACGGGCTATAAGTGAAAGTTTTGAATAATAGCTTCGAATATGGTACAGAGAATTATAAATCAAATATTGCCATGTCGATTTTTAGTAAGTCAGTATTTGATATATGCATCGTGAACCAGACGTGCTTGTTACTTCCACATATATGTTTTGTTGTTGTTGTTGTTGCCGCCGGATACGGCTAGTTTATTGTGCACCCCATACTAATCCTGTGAGCTATAGCGCAAAAAGCATTACAGAGGGCACAAAAGGTCGTTATCAGACCTCAACGGAGGTTATTACATAAACAATTTAATCTATCCTTCACACCTTCTAATTACAATGTCAGCTAGTTACAGAGAATGCCGCCCCTCCGTCCCACCTTTTTCCTGCTGAATACATTTTTAGTTTAAGGTCGAAATATTCAGTGTTTCATAGAGTTTTTCTTCACCTCAAATCCAGTCTGGAGCCACTCTTGACTTGTGACACACTAGTACTCTGTTCCCTGCCCCTACACACACTGTTTCCTGCCCCCTCACACTCTTCCCTGCCCCCTTACACTGTTGCCTGCCCCTCACACTCTTCCCTGCCCCCACACTGTTCCCTGCCCCTCACACTGTTCCCTGACCCTCACACTGTTGCCTGCCCCTCACACTGTTCCCTGCCCCTCACACTGTTGCCTGCCCCTCACACTCTTCCCTGCCCCACACACTGTTCCCTGCCCCCACACTGTTGCCTGCCCCTCACACTCTTCCCTGCCCCACACACTGTTCCCTGTCCCTCACACTGTTCCCTGACCCTCACACTGTTCCCTGTCCCTCAGACTGTTCCCTGCCCCCACACTGTTGCCTGCCCCTCACACTCTTCCCTGCCCCACACACTGTTCCCTGTCCCTCACTGTTCCCTGCCCCTCTCACTGTTCCCTGCCCCTCTCACTGTTCCCTGCCCCTCACACTGTTCCCTGCCCCATCACACTGTTCCCTGCCCTCAAACACTGTTCCCTGCCCCCAAACACTGTCCCCTGCCCCCTCACACTATTCCCTGCCCCTCACACTATTCCCTGCCCCTCGCACTGTTCCCTGCCCCCACACACAACGTTCCCTGCCCCCACACACTGTTCCCTGCCCCCACACTGTTTCCTGCCCCTCACACTGTTTCCTGCCCCCCTCACACTGTTCCCTGCTCCCACACTGTTTCCTGCACCCTCACACTGTTCCCTGCCCCCCACACTGTTCCCTGCCCCTCACACTGTTTCCTTCCCCCACACACTGTTTCCTTCCCCCACACACTGTTTCCTGCCCCCACACACTATTTCCTGCCCCTACACACTATTTCCTGCCCCCACACACTATTTCCTGCCCCCACACACTATTTCATGCCCCACACACTGTTCCCTGCCCCACACACTGTTTCCTGCCCCCACACACTGTTTCCTGCCCCCTCACACTGTTCCTAGCTCCCACACACTGTCCCCTGTCATCCCCTCACACTCTGTTCCTTTCCCCCCATCACACACTTTTTATCGTGGTCCCTTAATCTTGTCCGTGGCCTCTCTTCTTGTACCTGAGCCCTAATCTATGGCCGTAGTCCATCAGCTTCATCCCCCGGGCCTTGCTGCGCGCCTTTGACCTGGGAGACGTTAGTTACCTCGACAACCAAGTAAACATTTTCCTACACCGGCACTTGTTCTTGTTATACTATGATAACTGCATCATGAAACGTTATATCATATAGGGTGATAATAGCATAATAACAAAAGGAAAGATCAATGGTTTTGAAAATGTCTGGGGCTTGTTACAGCGATAACAGGTCATAGGTCGAGCTGTAGCAGCGCATCACTTATAATAAGATAAGATATTTATACAGGTAAAGGTACATACATTGAAAATGAGTTACAAACATATTGTTGGATTAATAGAGCTGGTGCATACAATGCCTGAAGCCACTAATAGGCACAGCGTTTCGGGCAAATGATATGTTTTCAATGTAACACGTATGCTCGAAGTTGCGTTTTGTAATATGGCTTAATTCGCACAATGATATTGCAAGAATGTGTATATCTATGATAAGCAATTGAGGTGGTAAAACGGTATGACGCCTGCATCCCCCTGGACACCCCAGGCACATTCACTCTTCCCGGAGACTCTAGGGATGCAGCTTCCACCCCTCAAGTCATTGGTATTTTTGCAAGTCTTAATTGTATTTTTGTAATAATCTCAGATATGTATATTTTGTGTTTTAAATGACCCGACTCTAAATACCATCATAATCAAAGATGTATCCCTTTTTTTTTACCGCCACGCAAATCATCATTTTTGAAATCGGTTTTAGTATATGTGCTAAAGGAAGAAACTATCGGTAATTTTACATGGAAATATTAAAACCTTTTGTTTATTACTTAAGGGTTTTAATATTTTTAATATTTTTAATATTATTATTAAGGGTTTGGACGATGGTATATATTTTATTTCGTGTGTATTTCTTACATCAATGTGCAATAAATATTAAATTATTCCAACCGCTTCTTATAGAAATTGTTTATTCTTCAAGTCTACTATCTTGCACCAGAGATCTTAATCTCTTAATCTTAAAGCCTTCTTTCTTGCCTCCAGAGCTCTTAATCCTTCTCCACCTATCTCTCTCCTTTAACAAGACTTTAAATCCATCTGAATCTCGGTCTCTTGAGTCTTAGAACTCTAAATCCTTACCTGTATTAGTCTTGAACTCTTCCTTTTTTTCCCCCCTATTTATTTTTCGTTCATTCTCTTCCCAGAACATGTGAGACATGAATATTGTGTCTTCGTATCGTGAGTGTCATGCAACATTAGCTGTGCCTTCACTGCCTTTCTCTCCCCACAGCTCAACACGCCCACCTGGGAGTCTATCAGTGACCACGCTAAAGATCTCGTGCGCCGGATGCTCACCTTTGACCCCAACGAGAGAATTACCGTCAAAGAAGCGCTCAATCATCGCTGGATTAAGGTATGCTGTGTTGTTAAGAAACATTCATAGTTCGTTGGTGCGAGTTTTAGAGTGATTTAACATGATACATATTTCAGTAGCGTGATACATGGTTTTCCGTTGAGATACATGATAGTAACGTGATTAATGGTTCAGTAGCTTGATACGTGCTTACGCAATATGTTGTGAGCTGCTATGTCACGCATTATTTTTCGTTATATATTTTTTCTATGTTAAGAACTTCTCAGTGTTATACAGGGGTTAAAGTGATGAACAAATGAGGTAATTCTCAAGAAGTGTTATTGCCGGCTTGAGGAGATTTATATAAGTATATAAACAAGTATTTTGACTTCTTTCACTTGCACCTTTGGAGCCTCGATGCACAGACTACAAAAGCAACAGCTCTCAGCTCTAGCTTTTCAGATTTATATCCATTTAACAAATGTACTGACAGGAAAAAGTAAGGAAATAAACAAAGCTATGTCTAAGAAATTTATAAATTTTATTTTATATATTGCAAGAAATTTGGTAAATCGCTGATTTTGTTTAATAAATTTAAATATACATCTTCAGATGCATCTTTAAATATTTGTAATTGTGTTCCAGTCTGATACATAGTAATTGAGATACAAATGTAGTTATATTTAACTTATACAGAAAAGATATTTAGACAAATCACTGCTTTATAAGCACAGTGATGAAGGAATGTGATTCCTTTCAAGGAATGAAAGGGCGCCTGGTGGCTGAGTGGACAGCACTTAGGACAGTTGAGAGGCGGGCCGAAAGAGCAGAGCTCCACCTCCGCAAGCACAACTAGGAAAATACAACTAGGTGAATACAGTCAAATGTACTTGAGAGGCATTGTTGGTTTATATGTAATCTGTCCTCTCTAATAATACAACACATGTTGACGTCAATCCCCCAATGGACAAAATACGATGGCCTATAAATCACGTTTTCCGTGCATGGGTTCGCTCTTTCAGGTTTGGTTAGGTTAGGTTAGGTTAGGTTAGGTTGTTTTAGTACACCATTTTCTGTCCGGGGTGGTAACTCGATAAGACAGGCTCTTATATGAGAACTTGGTTACCAGTAATTGTGGTATATATATATATGTATACCACGAGTTACATAGACACCAAAATATATCTACATATCACGAGTTATCTTTTGAAGACAAGAAATATCAGCACTTGTTATTTTGAGGTAACATGAATTCTCAGGAGTCAGGAGAATTATTGAGGTAACATAAATTCATCAGTGGTCAGGAGTTATCACCAAGGAATGAAAGAGAGGAAGGCGGGAGAGAGAAATATTGAGTCCATCACGGCCTCCGCCGCGCCGGCTACCCCTGTCTGTCCTCGCCTGATCCATCACCCAGGCAGTTTTGTGCCCTCTCAAGCCTGGCTCTTCGTCTTCCTTTCTCCTCTCACTTATTTTCACTTTCCATCCTCTTGTTTTATTTTGCATTGTTTTGTTATTTTGCCCCGAGGGGTGAGATTATTTGGCAGCGCCACCCATGCTGTGAGTGGACACACACCGCCTTAGCAGCATGTACAACACTCCCCAATAGCAAGAAAACCCTCTGGGTTGTTTATCCTGTCACTTGTGCCCAGACACAGCTGGGACTTGCTTAACTGTCTCAAGTGAACAGCTTATCAAACAAGAAGATTAACATCTGTCAACCCTTGAAATCTTACGTTATCTTGCCGGTGCAAAATGGGGGAATCTTTTAAGAACATTATCTATATTTGACAAATAGTATTTTCCTAACTCAGACAATGTGGGGCTTATTATTCTACAAATATTTATAATGTCTTGTAGATGTTCTCTTGCGCAGTTTTCTCCACTTCTTCAATTCTTATTTCGGTTTAGAGTGTTTTCGTTTCTTCCCGTCCTTTCAAGAACTCATTATGTGGAGTAATTTAATGCCACTTTTAACTGTGACACAATTTTTGGATCAAGCAGTGGAGGTTTTTGTATTTGTTTTGCCTTGTCTACTTACAGCTGATTGTTTTTGAAGTGTCTGCTTACCCCCTATTCCCTTTCATTCCATCTGCCTGCTTGCCCCTGTTCACTTTCCCTCTATGGGTCCATTTGGCCCTGTTCACTTTCCGGACTTATTACTCCCCCACCTTTATCATAAGTTTAAACATTAATGTTGATATGTTATGAAGCCGAACAATCATTTATCACTTGAAAAATGAACAGTGACTTCATTAACAGTGTCCTACTCGCTAAGAAACACCATATTAACAGTGCCGCCCTCCCCTCCCCTCCCCTCTTCACTAAGACACGAGCCTCTTCCATATTGTGGTGTGTTGTGCCCCTTCCCGTTTGCCCGTTACATAATATTCCCGTTACAAAGCTGAGAGGCCGCAGCGTGTGATGATCTTGTGTGTGTGTAGCCAATACATGGAAATCGACCAAGCCTAAGGGGACCCATGACATTATCGGGAAACCTGAGTGGTGATCGACTTTTTACGGCTTTTGCTTTATCCGGAGTATGACGGCTGTTGAGATGCTGCCTCTGATGTTTAGAGCACCACCACACTGGAGATGTTGCCTCTGATGTTAATGCACCACCACACTGGAGATGCTGCCTCTGATGTTAGTGTACCACCACACTGGAGATGCTGCCTCTGATGTTAGACCACCACCACACTGGAGATGTTGCCTCTGATGTTAATGCACCACCACACTGAAGATGCTGCCTCTGATGTTAGTGCACCACCACACTGGAGATGCTGCCTCTGATGTTAGACCACCAGCACACTGGAGGTGTTGCCTCTGATGTTACAGCACCACCACACTGAAGATGCTGCCTCTGATGTTAGTGCACCACCACATTGGAGATGTTGCCTCTGATGTTAGAAAACCACCACACTGGAGATGCTGCCTCTGATGTTAGTGCACCACCACACTGGAGATGTTGCCTCTGATGTTAGAAAACCACCACACTGAAGATGTTGCCTCTGATGTTAGACCACCACCACACTGGAGATGTTGCCTCTGATGTTAGACCACCACCACACTGGAGGTGTTGCCTCTGATGTTAGAAAATCACCACACTGAAGATGTTGCCTCTGATGTTAGACCACCACCACACTGGAGATGTTGCCTCTGATGTTAGACCACCACCACACTGGAGGTGTTGCCTCTGATGTTAGAAAACCACCACACTGGAGGTGTTGCCTCTGATGTTAGAAAACCACCACACTGAAGATGTTGCCTCTGATGTTAGACCACCACCACACTGGAGATGTTGCCTCTGATGTTAGACCACCACCACACTGGAGATGTTGCCTCTGATGTTAGACCACCACCACACTGGAGATGTTGCCTCTGATGTTAGACCACCACCACACTGGAGGTGTTGCCTCTGATGTTAGAAAACCACCACACTGAAGATGTTGCCTCTGATGTTAGTGCACCACCACACTGGAGATGTTGCCTCTGATGTTAGACCACCACCACACTGGAGATGTTGCCTCTGATGTTAGACCACCACCACACTGGAGATGTTGCCTCTGATGTTAGACCACCACCACACTGGAGATGTTGCCTCTGATGTTAGGCCACCACCACACTGGAGATGTTGCCTCTGATGTTAGACCACCACCACACTGGAGATATTGCCTCTGATGTTAGACCACCACCACACTGGAGATGTTGCCTCTGATGTTAGACCACCACCACACTGGAGATGTTGCCTCTGATGTTAGACCACCACCACACTGGAGATGTTGCCTCTGATGTTAGACCACCACCACACTGGAGATGTTGCCTCTGATATTAGACCACCACCACACTGGAGATGTTGCCTCTGATGTTAGACCACCACCACACTGGAGATGTTGCCTCTGATGTTAGACCACCACCACACTGGAGATGTTGCCTCTGATGTTAGACCACCACCACACTGGAGATGTTGCCTCTGATGTTAGACCACCACCACACTGGAGATGTTGCCTCTGATGTTAGACCACCACCACACTGGAGATGTTGCCTCTGATGTTAGACCACCACCACACTGGAGATGTTGCCTCTGATGTTAGACCACCACCACACTGGAGATGTTGCCTCTGATGTTAGACCACCACCACACTGGAGATGTTGCCTCTGATGTTAGACCACCACCACACTGGAGATGTTGCCTCTGATGTTAGACCACCACCACACTGGAGGTGTTGCCTCTGATGTTAGACCACCACCACACTGGAGATAAAATTGGAATTTCAAATCATAATTCTTAAATATACAAGTGTTTACATAAATCAAATTCAATAAATTTAATTTATAAACTGTATAATTATAATGACTTGTTTTAACAAATAAATTCATTATTAATTTATACAAGGACAATGTAATATATAGATTAACTCTGATAAATGTAATTCTAAATTATTTATTGAATAATAAAACATTAACATGTACCAAATGGCGATTGATATTATCTCTAAGTTATTATCACATTTGTGAACGATAGTTTAATACTGTTGGACTTCCTGTAGTCACACCTTCAACATTGTGATACAGCGCCCAACACTAAACTTAGACACATCCCACACATCTGAATATAAAGAAAGTGAAAATGTCCCGGTCCGTCGTGTTCCGTTGTTACCACGTGATAATGGTCCAGGATGGACCGGTCCGTCGTATACCGGTGTCATCACGTGATAATGGTTGAGGATGGACCGGTCCGTCGTATACCGGTGTCATCACGTGATAATGGTTGAGGATGGACCGGTCCGTCGTATACCGGTGTCATCACGTGATAATGGTTGAGGATGGACCAGTCCGTCGTATACCGGTGTCACCACGTGATAATGGTCCAGAACGGACCGAAGTCTCATCACTGCCATTATTTTCAAATGTCTGGGACAGGTGTAATAATTTTCAGCCAAGTTATTGTGACTTACTGTCTGCATTATAATGATTTACTGAATACGCTTGATAAAGGTAGATTAAGCTTTTCTTTGTTTTCTTATACACCTGTGAAAACTACATTCCGTATTCTTGGGCCTCACAACCTGAGGTATTGTTGTATGATCTTCTATATATAAGATACTAAGTGTTACACAGACAACGTAGTGTAACACAGACTGGCGTAGTATTGGCTGACGAAGTAGAGCACAGACTTGTGCAGTGAATCATAACCTGAACAAGAATTTGGATAAATTATGCTCAATAAAAGCGTCTTTTAAAATAGTTTTATTGCACAGTTGAGTTTTGCACGTGAATAACTCACGTTTTCTATAATTTACAGGTTAAGGCACATATGACCACAATCGGGTTCAATATATTTGTTAGGAGTCCGAGAGGTTTACTGGGTGCAATATACGATGATTTATAACCAAAAACTCTTTTAATATTTGCACAATAGAAAGTTGTTTCCACATATCCACACATTAAATCATTGATTGTAACCGTGATATATATGTGCTTCAGCCTACAGTTTAGACCTATTGTCTTATGTATGACCCTCTGTCCTGCGTGACAGTGAATACTAGCATTAACCTCAATTTAATAAGACTATCAAAATCCTCAGATTAGGCAAAATTGTAATTAATTTTGTCAATAAAGATGTTAATAATAATAAATTTTAATATTTCCTCCCAATTTACAAAATTTCCGACACTGATGGTTGATAGCGTTTGTGTGCCCGCAGGACCGCGATAAGTACGCCTCGCGGTCACACTTGCACTCGACCGTGGAGGAGATGCGGAAAATGAACGCCCGACGGAAACTGAAGGGAGCGGTGCTGGCGGCGGTCTCCTCTCCCCGCTGGACCAGCTTCTATAGCGACCCGACCCTCGACCCGTATCCTGAGCTTCCTGCCGACGATGATGTCTGCAGCACCGGTCAGTCGCTACTCCACTACCATCATCACTTTTCTCACTAGCATTACCCTTATCGTCTTCTAACACCATCATCTTTCTCATCCCTTATCGCCCCGAACTTACTAGTATTGCCAGTATCGCTCCTAACACTACGATCTTTCTCATCAGTATTGTCATTATTGCCCGTAACTCGAGCATCTTTCTTATTTGTATTACCATTAGCGCACCAAACATCACCATCTTCTTTCTCAGGAAACTTAGCTAGGCTTCTGGTGTGCTTCGTGTCTGCTCAGTGTGTATTATCCTCAGGTCACCACACACATTAAATGTATGTATAAGTGGACAAATGTCAGGCATTTTATTTATTTTCAATTAGCAGTCATAGTCTTTTGCTTGACTATGACTAACACCATCACCGTAACTAATAGTACTGTGGTTACAATAATCACCATTGAGAAAATGTCATCATACCAAACATCACTCCACCTATCACTGATAAGACAACCATTATCGTAAACACTACCGCCATCTCTCGCGCTGTTGCCAGCACCACCACCACTAACATTTCTCCCTCTCACAATCGTTAACAACATAATTGGCATCATCACTTCACAATCATTGCTTCGCATTAACACCACCTTCACTAACATCACCACCGTCACCATCACAACCGTCACCATCATATTTTCACTGCAAGAATATATAAATAGGTGAATTATGTTTGTTATTTTATAGACCTAGGAATATATGATAAAAAAACATTTATTCAGCAAATGCATGGAGAAGTTTGAGTACAATTATAATTACATATAATTATTGCAACAATAGATAACTCTACTGATTAACTCCTAATAGCTATATAAATTCAATCTCCACAATTACTCTAATTGTATTTTAAGAGATGCTGGCTTTCATCGTTGTAATTACAGCTTATAGTCAAACGAATATGAATAAAACACGTCTCAAGTTGTGTATCGTGAACTTTTAATATCACTTGTGTTCTTAGAATGCTGTACGATAATCCGGCATTGTGTTTACATCCGGCAGTCGCTGTCTGGCGTATAACGACGTACTCTGGACATAGACAAGATTAACGATCGGGGTTAACATACAATATTTAATTTCTTATATCACAATAATATGGCAGTAAACTTCAATGCTGATCAGCCTTCCGATAACAACATTTTATATAAAAAGTATCTTCAAAATGATAAAATGATTTAGAGAACGTATTTGTTTATTTTGTTATAATAAGTATTTTGAATGCTAACTTTCATCATAATAACAAATTTAGTTAACTGGTAGTAACAAGTTGAGTTACACAGTAAAAGAAATGCAGCTACGTAATAGTAACGAGGAATTAACTCGTAAAAGTAATTACCTTAGTTTGAGTCTCATAGTGATCAATGAGTTAAATTTGCCAGAATATGAATGATAAAAGTCAACTGTTAATTATGGAGTTTACGGTAAGAATCATAAGTGGCTGGATGTGCCCCCAGGAGCAGTAAGCGTGGTGCTGGACTCCCTGGACGACATCCAGTGCCTCCAGGAGTGTCCCGTCAAGGACCGGGACTTCCTCCTCTCCGTCCTGGAAGATACACAGCTCCACGCCCTCCTAGACGTAAGTACCTACCCTCTCCTTTTTCCTTAGCTCCTGCATGAGGCTCTTCATCTCTAGCCTCGACGTGTGTGCCATGCAGCTCCGTTAGTTCCTGCAGGACGCTCTCCTTAACGTGAGTACCTTACTTCTTCGTTAGTTCCTGCAGGACGCTCTCCTTAACGTGAGTTCCTTGCTCCTTCGTTAGTTCTTGCAGGACGCTCTCCTTAACGTGAGTTCCTTACTTCTTCGTTAGTTCTTGCAGGACGCTCTCCTTAACGTGAGTACCTTACTTCTTCGTTAGTTCTTGCAGGACGCTCTCCTTAACGTGAGTTCCTTGCTCCTTCGTTAGTTCTTGCAGGACGCTCTCCTTAACGTGAGTTCCTTGCTCCTTCGTTAGTTCCTGCAGGACGCTCTCCTTAACGTGAGTACCTTGCCTCTTCGTTAGTTCTTGCAGGACGCTCTTCATCTCCCACTTGGTTCATCTTGTTATGAAGGGCACACGGGCTTTTTATTTCTTTCTCGTTTCGTAAACGACGTGCTTGTAGGAGTTTTGTGTTTCTTTGAGACGCCTTTCTTGCAACAAATTTGCATTTTCAGCAGGTTTTTGAAGTGTTTTTCAGTGTTGTTTTTTTGTCTTGCTATTAAGGAAATACAAATCTTTCTCGTTGCCGTTCATAAGCGAAGAGAGTGATATGAAATGCCCCTTTATCAAAGCAGTTAAACCCGTGGACTTTTCCATGGCAAATTGGGAAATATTCATATTTTAATTTCGTCATAGAAATTACTTTTTTGAAACAAGGTGTCTTAAAATATTTTACGGTACACTGATATGAATGTGAAGATTACAGTTTATCACATATAACTCTAATGTAAATTATTAAATGTATAAACACAATGAGAACAATCAGCTGAAGCAACGATGTTTGAATGAGCGTCCTAGTGTGTACCAGATGCGTGCCTTAACTACACAACCCGTTCTCGCACTTGCTTATAGTCAATATTGGCTTATTTAATAAGTGCATATGTGACATACTAATTGATTGTGAATATTTTAGTTTACCTTGAAAAGCTTCATAGAAAACACCGACCTCACCTAACCTTCTTAGTATGTTAAGATAAGCATCTTATTGCTTCTTAATTACAATCATTACTTAACCTATACCGTTGATAGGTTAAGTAATAATTGTAAATAAGAAGCAATAAGATGCTTATCTTAACATACTAAGAAGGTTAGGTGGGGTCGGTGTTTTCTATGAAGCTTTTCAAGGTAAACTAAAATATTCACAATCAATTAGTATGTCACATATGCACTTATTAAATAAGCCAATATTGACTATAAGCAAGTGCGAGAACGGGTTGAACTACAACGCTGGTTTCAGGCTTTGCACCAATTGTTTTTCTCATTGATATATCACACCATAGTTAGTTCCTCGTGTTACAACTACCATTATAGCTGTAGATGGTTGTTTAACTATTCCGCAAAAAAAAATCAGTGCAGCCGACGTCAAATTTATCTTAAGAGTTTATTATGGTCCTACTTCAGTTAATGTGGTAATGGCATTTTGCGTTCGACTATTGTAATATATTATGAGCATAAAAAAAATTTGCTATAATAGTCGACTATTATTTTAGAATTGCAGTATTCTTTTCTAGACTGTTTGCTGAGTTTTATACGTATTCAGTCTTTTAGGCGTTATATACTTTTATTTGTATTATTATTATTATTATTATTATTATTATTATTATTGAACAAATCCAACAGGAGCGTTGATGAGGGAGTTCGAACCTATGTGCTGGGTGTTCCAGTGTATAGGTTCCAGGGCTAACCATGTCGTGGTGCAGTTGATCACAGGGCGCCTGGGAACACCCAGCTCACAAGTTCGAACCCTTATCACGGCTCCTGTTGAATTTGTTCATTGATATATCACGTTAATGTGATTTCTCTGCGTATTATTATTATTATTATTATTATTATTATTATTATTATTATTATTATTATTATTATTATTATTAAAACGCGTTTTAAACGCGTCAACTCTTAATTCTTAATCTGCTCGATGATTCTTTTTATTTCATGTATAAAATAACTTTGATGAACAACGTAAGCACATCACAGATAGCTAGCATACGATTTAGGAGATCTTCGTCTGCTCCAAATGGTTGTTATGGTAGTGGTGAAGGTGTTATGGTAGTGGTGAACGTGTCTGATCAATAACTGGGCCCCAGCCTCCGACGATAGATAAGACGATTGCAGCCAGGATGCTAAGACGACAGGGCACAGGTGGACATCTCGAGGCGTCCTCTACGGGGGACGTGTTCCTGAAGATCGTCGATGGTGAAGGATGAGAGCGGGTGCAGGCCGACGTGGCCATTCAATTAGTTGTAATCGCCTCGATGTGCTTGCGGAGGATGAGCTTCGGGTCTCTGGTCCCAACTCTCAATTGGGCTGTCATATCTGTATTTAAAGCTATACTTGAAGTATACCTCCAGGCCATCCTGTAGGTTACTGCAGTCTACCATTATCGTCATGAATTTTTTATTGATGGTTGTAGGGGGGGTTAGTATGGTTGATGTTGTGGGGAGGGGGGTGAGTATGGTGGATTTAGTGCAGTAGATGGTGAGTGGTGGGGGGGGATGGTGGTAACAGTGATAGTTGTTGTGGTAATGGTGGTAATGGATGTTGTGATGTGAGTGGTGATTGTGTGTTGTTCATTTGGGGGTGAAGGTGGTAATGGATGCGGGTGGTGGTATTTGTAATGGTGCGGGTAGTGATGGTGTCGGCTTGTGGTGTGGGTGGTGGTGATTGTGGTGGTGGAGAAGCGTTGTCATTTTGGTCAGGAGATTTGCTCAACACTAATTTTAGCAGGAATAAATTAGGTTTTCGTGCATCTTAATTTAAAGTGGTTTACTGTGGATGCAGAACCTCTTGTTGATGCAGTTCGTTTGGTAATATTATTGTATTGTACTTGCTTGTTTGAAATTAAACTTTATATTTCTCAACCTGAGGACGAAGGTTTTAAGCTTTAGAGCTTAACATGCTTCTCGATTTCTTCATCGGTGATGTGCAAGTTCAGTGACTGCAGATAAATTACTTTACTGCTTTACACACTGTCATGTGTTGTTTTCCTCAACTGACAAGACAGTAATATAATACTCGTATATAAAAGTATTCCTGCTCATAACCCTTGAATGAAAATCTGCCGAATATATTCTTAAAGGTCTAATTTGATTCAGCTGTTTTTATCATCATTATGATATGTTAAATATGTTTTATTGATTTAAGGGAAAAAGGTAAGTTTCGACCTGAATATTAACTTCTGCCACTTGTTACTTGGGCTCTGAAGCAAACGCAATTGTAGAGTTTTATGCCATGAGTGACGCCTCGAGGTTGTGGCCTCGTAGCCTGGTGGATAGCGCGCAGGACTCGTAATTCTGTGGCGCGGGTTCGATTCCCGCACGAGGCAGAAACAAATGGGCAAAGTTTCTTTCACCCTGAATGCCCCTGTTACCTAGCAGTAAAATAGGTACCTGGGTGTTAGTCAGCTGTCACGGGCTGCTTCCTGGGGGTGGAGGTCTGGTCGAGGACCGGGCCGCGGGGACACTAAAGCCCCGAAATCATCTCAAGATAACCTCAAGATAACGCTCATGAGAAAACTTTACACACTAGACCACCTTCCTCACTAACTTGTGTCACTATTTTTGTCACATTTTGAAGCAAAAGTTACCAGAAAAAGTGCCGTTTCTATCAATAAGTTGGAGACCCGTCGCCTGAGTCGCTCTCATATTTCCCACATTTATAAAACCAAGTGCCGGGAAAAATATTATGAATCGGTGTTGACAGGTTACAACGGAGCGTTTAGGGAAGTGAGTAAAAAATGGAAGAAAGTAGGAGGAGGGAGTGAACTATCAGGGGAAAACACCAAGCCATTACGACTATATAGCACTTGCAAGGGATGAGGATAAGGGATGGAACGGAGAGGGGGAATGAATGGTACCCAACCACTTAGACGGTCGGGGATTGAACGCCGACCTGCATGAAGAGAGACGGTCACTCTACCGTCCAGCCCAAGTGGTTGAAATAATGATCATAAGAGTAAAGGACATGCATGGCCTTTTGCCCCAAACGCGATAGATCTTATTTATACCCACAGAGACTCATTCATATATGTCTAACCTACGCTTCAAACAATAAAGTGATCCCACGTCTATTAGGTTACCCTGTTACCTGTGGAACAAATTACCGGTTAACACATTAGACGTATGATCACAAGTTGTACCCTCTGGATCCCTTAAAGCTTCTTTTAATCACATGATTTGCTTCAGGCGTAGGTTAGGCATATATATAGGAATAAGTTTAGGTAGATTTAAATAGGGATCTGCCTCGTATGGGCCATTTTCCGTTAATGTTCTTAAAGATCAATGGAGAAGGAAGCTGGAGGTGCTAATGGATTAGAGAGACGATTGAGAGGACTGAAAGACATATAAGGTACTTGGAGGGACCTGCCCTTTAACTGTACGTTTAAAATTGCAAATATCAATATAAATGGTTAAAAATCAACTAAATCATGTAAGAGGTAAGAGTTGTTGTTGTTGTTTTAGGAATTAGTTCCCCGAAACGTTAGTTCCGAGTAGCACGGGCTATGGTGAGCCCGTAGTAGACTTACCTGGCACAGGAGCGGGGCTGTAACTCCTGCAAGTACGGGGTGAGAATAGCTTGAGCTACGTCATCCCTTTGTGTGTATTTTACCTCAATAAACTTATTTCAATTTCCTGCATGTAAGGGAGATTGACGAACATTTACGATGATGGAGATGAGGTAAATCCAATGGAAATAATGTGAAAAATATTGAAAGTATGTAAACTTAATTAAGATGAAATGTAATACAAAGAGAAAGGTGCCGGGGAGGTAAAGAGGAATATTGGCGTACACTAGCAATGAAAAAATTCCTCTGTTAAAGTGTTGAAGAGGTGGTTGATAGTAGCTGAGATTGTTGAGGTGATTAGATTACGTAGGGTTGATT